ATCCACATTCCAGGCAGGGCTGTAAAGGTTTATTGACGCGTGTTTGGGAAGGCAGAGCCTCACAGCTCGCAATTAAAACCGCGATTAAAGCGCCGTACGTCTAAATTTGCAGGACCGGTTAATGTGCACCCAAGAGGATTAACGAGGCCGCCTGAAGAACTCCCTAAATAATTTATTATTAGGCTGTGGAAGGAGTCCCTGATGAGCTCCCGAGCGCGGCGGCCGCCGGTGGCTGCGGCTAACGACGGCTAATGCCCGGCACAGCCTCCCCGGGACCGACGGGAAAGGGATGGAGGGATCTGCAGCAGGGGGATCCGTGGGATCTGCAGCAGGGGGATCCGTGGGATCTGCAGCAGGGGGATCCGTGGGATCTGCAGTGAAGGGATCCTTGGGATCTGCAGTGAAGGGATCCTTGGGATCTACAGGAGAAGGATCATTGGGATCTGCAGTGAAGGGATTGTTGGGATCTACAGTGAAGGGATCATTTGGATCTACAGGAGAAGGAACATTGGGATCTACAGGAGACAGATCCTTGGGATTTAGAGGACAGGGAACATTGGGATCTACAGTGAAGGGATCATTGGGATCTGCAGAAGGGGGATAATTTGGATCAACAGTGAAGGGATCGTTTGGATCCACAGCAGAGGAATCCTTGTGATCTACAGGAGAGGGAACATTGGGATCTACAGTGAAGGGATCATTAGGATCAGCAGCAGAGGGATCACTGGGATCAGCAACAGAGGGATCACTGGGATCAGCAGCAGAGGGATCACTGGGATCAGCAGCAGGGGATCATTGGGATCAGCAGCAGAGGGATCACTGGGATCAGCAGCAGAGGGATCCTTGGGATCAGCAGCAGAGGGATCACTGGGATCAGCAGCAGGGGATCATTGGGATCAGCAGCAGAGGGATCACTGGGATCAGCAGCAGGGGATCATTTGGATCAGCAGCAGAGGGATCACTGGGATCAGCAGCGCTGGCTCCTTCGCTGAAGGAGTTATTCCAAATATTCCGGTTCCATTAGGGCAGCGCATCCCTTTGGACGCCTCCCCAGCTCCCGCAGTCGGGAAAGGCCCGGGATGCCGGGTGGTGGGGATGGTGGGGATTGTGGGGATGGTGGGGATGGTGGGAATGGTGGGAATGGTGGGAATGGTGGGGATTGTGGGGATGGTGGGATGCTCTGATCCTGGGGGATCCTGCCTGGATCACGGTCCCACTGCCAGGGCAGAGGGGCTCCACTCCCAGCCCTGGAAGCAGGGATGGCGATGGGGGATTTTAGGGATTTTAGGGAAAATGTTGATGGGATTGTTACTGAATCCCTCGATGGGCACTGAGATGTCCTGGGCAGATTTTTGCACCCCAAGAAGCTCCCTGAGGGCTCAGGAAACACCGCAGCCCCTTCCCTGCCACTCACCACTCCCACCCCCCCATCATTTTCTTCCAGCCCATGGAAATTTGGGAATTTCTCCCCCTGCCTTGGATGCATCCAGCGCCTTCTCCTTACAGCCTGCTCATCCAGCCAGGAGGAGACCCCCAAACCCTCCAGCTCCCATTATCCAATGGTGAAATAAGAACCAATCTCCAATTCTCCAAGGAATTCTCACCCATGGGGGGCTGCTCCCAGATTTAAACCCAAGATCCCCCATATTTAAAATACAAATCCCCCAAATTTAAACCAAAGCTTTCCCATATTTAGGTTTATTCCCATAAACTCTCCCATATTTAAACCCCAAATTTAAGCCCAAACTCTCCTAAATTTAAGCACAAAAATCCACCAGATCCAAGTCCAAGATGCCCAAATTCCAGCCCCATTTCCTGCAGGATTCCAGCCCAGGATGGGAGTGGGCAGTGGGGGGTGGCGGTGGCCCTCACCCGGAGTCGAGGGTGCCCGTGGCTTGTGGAATTACCCCGAGGAGAGGGAAATCCACCAGGCTCATCCCATAAATCCCATTTGCTCCAGCAGCTCCCTCCTCTCCGGGCAGCCTCTCCCTCAGTCCTGCGTGGTTTGATCCCGGATTTTAAAGCTAAAAAAACGGGATAAACGCTGGAAGAAACACCCACACCCACCGGGCTGGGTGGGCGCACACGGGGACCACCTCCAGCTGTCCCCTTCATCCCTCCAGGATGTGGGAGCGTCCCCTCCTCCTCCAAAACAATCCCAGGAAAATCAATATTTTGGGAGCCGTTTCGCCTCCCCACCGGCTGCCGCCGGCTGCTCCTTTGGCGGCGACAGCGCTCGCAGGGATTATTTTTGCTCCCCGGTTCATTACCGGGGTTGTTACCAGGCAGATTTCCTCACCCGAGCTTCTCCTTCCCATTCCGTGGGCTGTGGGAGGAGGGAATGCCGGTTTCCATAGCGATGCGCTTGGCTTTAATCAGGGTTCCTTCCCTGGGAGAATTGATTACGGAAAGTGGCGCTAAATAAGTCAGTAAATTGGATTTATATATATATATATATATATATATAAATTTATATATATTAATTCTTTTCCCCCTCCTCTTTTGGGTTGTATTAATGTTGTCTTGAAGGCACCGGATTTGGGGAATAATCCCCCCGGCTTCTCCCAGAAGTCGGGATAAAGAACGGAACCGGGATAATGAGCGTGGGAATTGCCTGTGGCTCAATCCTTGTCCACCGCTGGCCGGTGGGGGCATCTCCTCCAGGGTCCATCCTGCCCCATCCCGCTGGGCTTTGGAAAATTTTTGGAGCAGGTTGTCCCATTCTTTTGCTCTTCCCTGCCCGTTCCCCTCCCGGCTCCAGCCCCAGCCTTTGTCTGTGTTTCATTCCCAGAATTTGGGATTCAGGGAGTCGGGCTCTCCACGGCTCTCCAGGTTTCCCATCCGATTCACTCTGTGCAGTGCCCAGGACTATATATATATATATATATATATATAGTATAATTTTTTTTATATATATATATATAGTATAATTTTATATATATATATATATATATATAATATAATTATATTATGCTATAAATATTATACAGAACATATATTATACAATTATATTATATATATGTGTCACAGAATAAGATATTCTATATTCTATATTCTATATTTATATTGTATATTATATATTATATATTATATATTATATATTATATATTATATATTATATATTATATATTATACATTATATATTATATATTATATATTATATATATAATATTGTATATTATATATTATATATAAAATTTTAATATAAATATAATAATATAAATATAGCAATACTGATGATGATGATGGTGATTATTATTATTATTATTATTATTATTATTATTATTATTATTATTATTACTGCTGCCGTTGGCCACCCCCAGGCCACATTTCCCAGTGCTCCGTGCTGGTTTCGGTTTCGGTTTCGGTTTCGGTTTCGGTTTCGGTTTCGGTTTCACTTTCGGTTTCGGTTTCGGTTTCGGTTTCGGTTTCACTTTTGGTTTCGGTTTTCAGTCCTCTCCTCGTAATCCTGTCATTAAGAGTAATCGAGCCCGAGGCGGCAGCGAGCGGAGCCAGAAATCGGCGCCGGGATCAGGGCGGGATCCTGGCGGGGGGATTTATCATGGATTACAGATGATGATCCCGAGATCCAGAGAGGATGGGCAGGAAATCAAAATCCGGGAGCTGGAGGCTTTTCCCATCATAAATCATCCTCCGGGACGCCCGAGTGATGGGGAAACTGAGGCACGGAGGGCGATGTGGAGTTACACCTCCTCGCATTCCCCTTTTAGCTCCCAAAGTCCCCGGTAACCCCTGTCCTGCTGGCGGCTGCATCTCACGGCCATTCCAGCCCGTTATCCAGGGAATTCCTGGCATTTTCCAGCCGCATTTTCCCTTCCCCTGCTCTGTTCCAGGTCGCGGCGCTGGAGAGGCAGATCTTTGATTTCCTGGGATACCAGTGGGCCCCCATCCTGGCCAACTTCCTGCACATCATGGCCGTGATTTTGGGGATTTTTGGGACGATCCAGTACAGATCCAGATACCTCATGATGGTGGGTACCGCCCTGGGGGCGCGCGGGGGGCTCAGCCCGGGGACAGAGGAGCGGCGGCTGCTCCGTCCCTGCAAGGGCCCAAGGCCGGGAGCGGCACCGTGGCAGGTTCAGGATGAACTCTAAGGTCACTCCCGCCCCAAAACTGGGATTTTATGATTCCTCGAGCACCCCAGATCTGTGATTTTATGATTCTATGAGCGCCCCAAATCTGTGATTTTGTGTTTCCACGAGCACCCCAGATCTGTGATTTTGTTTCCACAAGCGCCCCAAAGCTGTGGTTTTGTGATTCTACGAGCATCCCAAATATGTGATTTTGTGTTCCATGAGCACCCCAAATCTGTGATTTTTGTGTTTCCACGAGCACCCCAAAGCTGTGATTTTATAAATCCACGAGCACCCCAAATGTGTGATTTTGTGTTTCCATGAGCTCCCCAGATCTGTGATTTTATGATTCCACAAGCACCCCAAATGTGTGATTTTGTTTCCATGAGCACCCCAAAGCTGTGATTTTGTTTCCATGAGCACCCCAAAGCTGTGATTTTGTGTTCCATGCGCTGTCTCCTCTCGCAGTACGCGGTGTGGTTGGTGCTGTGGGTCGGCTGGAACGCCTTCATCATCTGCTTCTACCTGGAGGTCGGGCGCTTGTCACAGGTACCGCCCCCACCTTCCTCTCCTCCTCCTCATCCTCCCTGCATCCTCCATCCCTCCATCCCTCCATCCTCGTCCTCCCTGCATCCTCCATCCTCCTCCCTGCATCCTCCATCCCTCCATCCTCGTCCTCCCTGCACCCTCCATCCTCCTCCCTGCATCTTCCATCCTCCTCCTCCTCCTGCTGCTGCTCCCCCCGAGCCCGCGGGTACAGGCGCTCCATCCTCGTCCTCCCTGCATCCTCCATCCTCCTCCCTGCATCCTTCATCCCTCCATCCTCCTCCTCCCTGCATCCTCCATCCCTCCATCCTCGTCCTCCCTGCATCCTCCATCCTCCTCCCTGCATCCTCCATCCCTCCATCCTCGTCCTCCCTGCACCCTCCATCCTCCTCCCTGCATCCTCCATCCCTCCATCCCCCCATCCTCCTCCTCCCTGCATCTTCCATCCCTCCATCCCTCCATCCTCGTCCTCCCTGCACCCTCCATCCTCCTCCCTGCACCCTCCATCCTCCTCCTCCTCCTGCTGCTGCTGCCCCCCGAGCCCGCGGGTGACAGGTGCTCTGTGTCACCCCTCCTGTCCCCCGGGCACCGCCCGCTGTCCCCGGCAGCAGCACGGGAGGAGATCCCACAGCCCGGAGCTGCTCCCTGGGGGTGATGATCCCCTGCCCGGATCCTCCCTGCCGTGGGGAACCCATTCTGTTGGGAAGGTAGAATCAGAAAGGAATTATAAAATGACTCCTCAGCCAGAGAGGCTAAGGAAGAAATACAAATGAAAACAGTTTGAATAATTCAAAGAAACCGGGCTGGTATGCCAGAACACATTCTGTCCCCCAATAAAACTGAGACCTTCTCCCCAGCCTTATAAAGACGAGTCTGAAGTACCCCTGAGATAAAAATATGACTAATATTATTATTATATGACTAATATTATATTGACTAATATATTTTTACTAATAACTAAAAATGTGCAAAAGCAGCGATTTCTATAGGTCACACACCAATGTTACTGTATTAGTACACTTATAAAGATTGGTTAGTGAAGGATTAGAATATTCAAATATATAAGTTATATAAGTAATTGTAAAGGAGAGCTTGGCCTTTTTCTGGCTCCCTCACTTCTGTGGTTTCTCTCTTTCTTAAGTCCTAAACTCGTGTATTCATATTTTACCCCTTTTTGTATTGTTCCCTCTGAGCCTGCTTTGAGCTTTGTCTGCTGGCTCTCAGCAGGGCTCTGAACCCTGAGATAAACTCCTGACACCTAACTCGGCTGTGGAGGTCTCTACCGTGCCCCAGAGTCTCTCACACCATTCCCTGTCCAACCCTCCTGCCGAGAGCCTCGGACCCACTGCCCGTGCTTCCTCCTCCTCCTCCTCCTCCTCCTCCTCCTGCAGGACCGAGACTTCATCATGACCTTCAACACGTCCCTGCACCGCTCGTGGTGGATGGAGAACGGCCCTGGCTGCCTGGTGACGCCGGTGCTCAACTCCCAGCTGGCCCCCGAGGACCACCACGTTATCACGGTCAGCGGCTGCCTGCTGGACTATCAGTACATCGAGGTGCTGAGCAGCGCCACGCAGATCTTCCTGGCGGTGAGGAAGCCTCTCCCCTCGGCACCGGGAGCGGGGTCCGGCTGGAGGGGTCCCCATCGCACATTTCTGTCACCCAGGGGGGAGCGGCCGGCACCCAGGGGTGCTGCCCGCCCCGGAACTCGTCAGGTTGAGGGTTGGATGCTGCGGGGAGGGAGGAATCACTCGCTGGGAGGGATGTCCCTCCCTTGTCGGTGACCGTCACCCCTGTGGGGAGGTGGCAGAGGAGCAGAGCTGCTGGCAGAGCTCCCTAAAACAGAGCAACTGAGTCCCCAGAGGAGCTTCCAGCCCTGTGGGGGGCTCAAAACCCCCGGTGGGGGGCTCAGAAGCCCCTGTGGGTGCCAGCCTTGGTCCCCTCCCTTCTGCAGCTGAGTCCATCCAACCCTGCTGCACCCCAAACTGCACCGGGATGGGCTCTGGCTGCTCCCAGCACCCCCAGTGCACCCCCAGTTCACTCGCAGTGCACCCCCAGTTCCC